CTGCTGGCAGCGGCGCCTGGGTCTCCTATAGAACTACCTGCAGCTAAGGACCCTCCTCTCTCTGGCACTAGCATGAAGGGTGACAGCCTTTAATCCCACCACTCCCGTGTGGCCACCCCACTCACTTGGCCTGAGGATGGGCAGGGAGCAGTGCTGGTCCAGCCAGGACAGCACGGTCCGGTGCAGCTCCTCCAGGCTGCTGGTGGACACCATCCCCTTGAAGGACTCGAACAGCGGCTTGATGATGACGCTGAACTGCACGGCGCGTGGGTTAAGGGAAAGGTGAGTGACAAGGGAGGCCTGTGACGAATTTCCCCCAGGGCCGCGAAGCAACTGCGCAAGGAGTCGAGAGAGACCTGGACGAGGTGAGCATGCCCGACACTCGCCTGAATGTTTCCATCCAACTGTAACTGACCACTGAGCAGGCCGGAGAAGTCTCTCTGGTCTGGAAAGGGTCCTGGTGCAACGACAAGAACACGACGGTCTCTACGTACAGGTGCTCCCTGACTTACGAAGGGTTACGTCCTGACTTACGCATCGTACGCAGAAAATGCGTGGCACACAGCTAACCCACAGCGCCTCACGCAAAGCCTTTTTATAATAAAGTCCTGGCTATCTCGTGTACTTCACTATTCGCATCCTTTTCACATTATCCTAAAGCTGAACAACCCTAACTCTAACCCTCCCGAGTTGGGGGCCGTCTGTCCTGGAGAGAGCAGGAGGAGCAGCTACTGGCCTAGAGATGTCGCCTTCGTGCCCAGCGCCGACGCGCCGCTCAGTCATACTCTATGCGGCCGCCCACGCCCCCGCGGGCGTGCGCTCAGGGAAGGCACGGGGTCCGCTTTCTGTGACCTGCGCCCGGACAGCGTCCACCGTCCCGCATGCCTCAGCCTGATGGTGAGGAACGTGCCGTTTTACCAAAGAGGTTCTGACACATCCCAGCCGCCAGCCGCCAACAGGAAGGCGTCAGGACCGGAGCTCGGCAACAGGACAGCAGAACAGGGACACCGGAGCTGGAGTCCACCCCCTCTCCGAGAACCACCCATCAGAGCACACACAGGCACCACCTGCCCAGTCAGAGCCTCCATCGTGACGGCTCCTCAGTCCGTCAGACCCACGGCTGGAGGAGGGGAGGGGGCGGCCGACCCGCCACATGCGCAGTCTGCTCAGAGGCACAGCGGTGGCTGGCTGCGGAGCAACAAGGCAGGAGCCATTCCCTGTAAGGGCCCTGCTGACATCTGGAAGGCCAGGTGCATGGAGGCCTTGGCCCCCGAGACAGGCTCGGCCTCTCACGACAGCATTCAAGGCCTGCGGCACAAACTCAGGGAACGGCCTGGAAGGAGCTGGTGTCCAATCTCGGCTCTGCACTCGGGCTTGTGAGCCCGGGTTTCTCATCTGCCGTGCGGATGGTACTCGCCCTCCTCTCTGCTGGGTGCTGGGATGCGTCACACTAGACCCCACCTTCTTCCCACGTTACTGCTTCCGCAAGTGGCATTCTAGCACTGCCTTTTTTTCTCAAGGACCTAGAGAGCAATGCTGGCCCGTTCCGCCTACCCAGAGCCCCGAGCCTGGACAGTCACCAACGACAGCTCCACTCCACATCACAGGCTTGGCCAGTGCCCCGTCATTCAAGGCAGAAACTAGTATTTCCTGTCTTGAACTCAATGACAACCACTTAAAGAATCTTTCTAAAGGAACTAGAGTGTGGGTCTGCTGTTTTGGTGGGTGGCTTGGGATGGGGTGGGGCAAAGAAAACCCAAAGATACAATCCAGAACTTCCAATTCTGCAGGGTCCGGCTCTTCACGTATTCGTCAAACATGTCTGTCATGTGATCAAACTGGCGCCGGGTGACAGGGACTCCCGTGGCAGGGAGCAGCTGCTGGCAGGAGCTGAAAGGACAGGAAGTCACAGGAAGCTTGGAGCAGCCAGTGCAAATTCAGACCCCAGGGGGCCGAACGGGCGGGAGGAGGACACGCAGCCAAAGTGCTGCCACGGAGAGGTGTCCATCAGCACTGAGGCCACAGAGGGTCCTGCGGCCAGTGTGGCCCACACGTGTGAGGGGACGAGGCACCGCCCGGCCCCCGGGCACCCCGCCTCACATGATGGTGGCGTTGAGCTCCTCGATCTCCTCCCGCAGCCGCCGCGCCTCCTCCTGCATCTGGCTGCGCTCCTGCTGCAGCTTGGTGATGTGCTCCATGGTCTTCTGCAGCGTCACAGCGTGGCTGGTCTGCGGGCGGTGGCCGGTCAGAGTGGCACCCCGCATGCCCCGCACGTCCACCCGGCAATGTGCAGGAAGTGCTCGGCCGTCTGTCGGCTCCCGACCCCCGTGCCCCCGGCCGCTCACCAGCTTGGAGTTATTAGAGATCAAACTGTTCAGCGTGTCAAAGCTCATCTTGATGTTGAAGCGTCTCTTCTGCTCGGCTGAAATGTGCTTCATCTGCCGGTTCTGTTGGGGAACTGGCCGGTCACTGCGCCGTGCGGTGTGCTGCAGGGCCGTCTTCTCTCGTCCCCACCCCGCCACCTGCTGCTGACAGCTGCGGGCCGGCTAGAGAACTATACGCAAGGAGGGCCAGCAAGAAGCTGAAGGGCGAGGGCCTGAGACTACCGCCAAAGAACCAGGGATCAACTGCTGCTGTGGCACCCCCCAGCTGCCCACAACCCTCGGGTCTACTGTCCGTTCTTACAGCTGCTGCTTCCTCCCACATGACAGGATCCCACGTTGCTTCCGTGGGCCGGTTAGTGGGTGTGGGTGGGGGGAGTGGGCTTAATCTCAAGGCAAAGTCACAGCCATCCATGCTTCCAGTAGTATGGCAGCCCCGGCGGCACCAGCCACGCCTGTGGCTCTCCTCTCCAGTGACTCTAGTCAGGGGTGCAGCTGTCTCAAAGGTTCCCCGATACTCTCCTCCCTGTTTCCGCATCCTTCCTAGTGAATCCAGACCCGAGACAGACATTTGGTACCTTTAGAGAAGCCACGTGTTTGGGGTCTGCAGTGTATTTCCCTGAGCTGCTGTTCTGGGGAGACTGAGGGCTGGGGCTCTGCTCTGAAGTGCACGGCGAGGCCTGTCCTGAGTTCGGGCCGTCTCGACCTACGAAGAACAGACCATTTGGGGACAGGGCTGGAGAGGTGGGCTCAGCAAAGCTGCGCCAGCCGCAGCCCTCACCCCCAGACCCCCAGCAAGTCCCAAGACTCAGAAACCCATCAAGAACCTCCCACAGAGGCCCCAGAGCAAAAACCAGAGAAATTCTTGTCAACGTCCTAAGGGGGGTGCGTCAGGCCCGGGTGAGGCCTGGCGAGGGCTGGCCGGACATGGAGTGGAATGTGGCCCAGGCTCTGCCAGTCACAGGTCCTGGGGGATGTGGGAGAGTTTTGAGAGGTCTGACGCCTAATGGCCTCCTACAAAGCCACCCAGGGGGACCGGGGTTCTCCGCGGTGCGAGAGGCTCTGGTGCTCACCTCCTGTGGTAAGAACACAAGCACCTGTCCTGCTGTGGTTCGTTTAAACCTTTCGGATACATTTCCTTATGCTTTGTTCAACCTCACCTACACCCAGACTTTTTAACTAAAAATACACAAACTCTTTTACCCACGGAGGACATGATGGAGAGACCGGTAACCCTTGCAGGTAGTGCTTGTCACCAGGATCTCTTGGATGTGTCCCGTGGACCCCCGGGGCCTCTTCTACCTCCCTGTACACAATGCCTCAGATTGGTCCTTCTCCTTCTCTACTGGATCATTCTC